CCCCAACTTTCGTTCTTGATTAATGAGAACGTCCTTGGCAAATGCTTTCGCAGAAGTTCGTCATCCATAAATCCAAGAATTTCACCTCTGACAATGGAATACGAATGCCCCCAACCGTCTCTATTAAACATTACTCCAATCCCGAAGACCAACGGAATAGGGCCAAAGTCCTATCGCGTCATTCCATGCTAATATGTCCAGAGCACAGACCTGCTTTGAACACTCTAATTTTTTCGAAGTAAAAGCGCCGGCTCTGGATCCCAGCCAATAAAGGCAAGGAACGCATACCCGRCAAGAAAGGCGAAAGGGCCGGTACACGCCCGCAAGAGCGGACCAACCCCTCCCACCCAGAATCCAACTACGAGCTTTTGAACTGCAACAATTTAAATATACGCTATTGGAGCTGGAATTACAGCGGCTGCTGGCACCAGACTTGCCCTCCAATGGATCCTCGTTCAAGGAGTTTACGACTGTTCTCATTCCAATTACCGGACGCGAAAGAGCCCAGTATTATTATTTATCGTCACTACCTCCCTATGTCAGGATTGGGTAATTTACGCGCMTGCTGCCTTCCTTGGATGTGGTAGCCATCTCTCAGGTTCCCTCTCCGGAATCGAACCCTAATTCTCTGTCACCCGTTACCACCATGGTAGGCCTCTATCCTACCATCGAAAGTTGATMGGGCAGAAATTTGAATGGAACATCGCCGGCTCAAAGGCCATGCGATTCGACAAGTCACCATGATTCGCCGCAACAACGGGCAAGCCCGGATCGGCCTTTTATCCAGGATAGCAAATCCGGATATCGGGCAGACCAATTTTATCCGGAATTTTCAATCCGGATGAAATTTCCGGATTAATTCCGGATATGGAAAACCCGGCCCTACGCAAAAAAAAAGAAAAAAAAAACCGAAAAAAAAAAAAATCAAAAAAATCTGGGAAAAAATTATGTTGTTCATATCAATGATCTGAACAACGTTTGGCTTGAGGCCATCTTTGATTACTCAACAGATATGAAGATAAAAAATAAAACAGTACTAGAAAATAATATTTAGATTAAAAAATTAAAAAAATTATAGAATGAATTAAGCATCCCCCCTCCAAACCCCTTTATTCCCTATCTTATCCGCTTTGAACCGTTCCAGGCCCTATTAAGCTTTTCATGAAATAGGAACGTAGTTCTATTGTATTTTGCATGCCCATTATCACTTTCTTTTTTTTTTTTTTTTTTTTGCTTTTTTTAGGCCATTTTTTTAATCATCCGGATTTCCGGATGATCCTACCCCCCGATTTTTCGACCAGATAATCCAACCAGATTATCCGGCCAGATAACCCATGCTACCTAGCTTTTATCCAATAAATACATCCCTTCCAGAAGTCGGGATATGCTGCACGTATTAGCTCTAGAATTACCATGGTTATCCGAGTGGTAAGGAGACCACAAAATAAATGATAACTGATTTAATGAGTTATTCGCAGTTTCTTGTTGAAACCCCCCCCACACACATGCCCCATCTATTCTGGGGGGCGGCAGTCCGGTTGCTTATCACTGGCAAGCATAAAACAACAAAAGGTTCAGAGAGATAGACGGATAAGACAGCAAGGTGGGTTTAGGAAGTGTTGTCCCTGATTAGCATCAGAGGCCGCTTGCGTCAGAATGGACGGTTGCTGAATTCAGTCACTCCTTACTCGTGTAAGGGGTATTGTCGGGAGGCATGTCGCACCCTATCGCCTTACTCCTGCCGCGAGGAAGGAATGCTGCTAAAGCAGTCGTCAAAACCTCGCTCCTTCCGGGAAAGAAAAAAAAAAAAAAAAAAAAACATTTAATTGTTCCCTTCCTCCCCCCTAGTGACAGGACGTTTTTCCTACAAAACTATTCCTGCTACTGTCTTTGTAATGTAATCAGTCGTCATGATTCTTTGTCTTGTCCGCATATTACCAGTTATGCTTAGTCGATGATTCTTCTCGCTGTGGTGGCTCGCCCTCCGCATGTCAAGGTACCGCCCGAGTAACGGGCAATGTCGTGTCTTTGAAACCCACCCAGAGGGGGTGTATGGATGTAACTCTCATCCTTGGAGTAATCTGTCTTCGAGTCTGCAGTCTTTTAATCTTTCAGTTGTCTGTTGAGTGTCAATCTGAGGGAGGAGGTCCCCATCTATCCCTTTATAGATCGTATTTTAATACCACTGACATTTACAGTATGTTAGAGTTTCCAAAAAACAAATGAAAAAATGTACAATCGTTTATCCATCTATGTTACATTGATCTATTAGAACTTCTATTGACATTTACAGTATGTTAGATTTTCCAAAAAACAAATATACAGTGTACAATCATTTATGCATCTATGTTACATTGATCTATTAGTACTTCTATTCTACTTGTGAGTGTTGTACATCCCTTCCGGTGTTAGAGGTTCGTGATGCTTCCTGTTGATCATCCAGTTGGTCCGTAGTCATTTGAAAGGCCGTGGCCCATTTCCATTCCCCTGGCTGTTCTCCTGCTTCCAGTATCTCAGAATATGGTTCCCAGGCTGTTCTGAAGAAATTCCATCCTCCTTTGCACCGCCTGTTGGCATCCGTTGTGACTGCTGTTCGCAAGTTCTTGACAGTCCAGCCTTTGAGAGTAGCTACATTACCATGTTGTCCTGTCCTGAGCAGGCGCCCTCTGATAGCCCACACCGCCCCCCAGAAGGCTGTTCGTATTATATCTCCTGCATATGCTGTCTGTGGTTTAGATGAGGTTCCTGCCAGTGCCATCCCCAGCATGACTTGTGTACGATGCGTGGCCGCAGACGGGTGCAGCGGGATCTTCGTGTCCATCGTTCCCCACCATTCCCAGAATTTTGTTGAGGCCCGCAATCCAACCACAGGTGTGGCAGGGTCTCGTCTTGTATTGCACACTCCTTGCACTGTGTATCGGAGGCCGAGCTATGTGCTGCCATCCATTGGAATGTCGGAATTTCCAGGTGCAGACTAAGCCATAAGCCTCCTGTTTGTTTCTGATCTGGCAAAATAGCGAGTGTCTTACTGGCTATTTTCCATTGGCTTTCTGTCCATGTATGTGTTGTCTCCAACCATCCTCTCTTTGCCCACCGATTCCGCATGTCCTCTCCCATATCCGTGAGTTGCAGCAGCGTTCGATAAATAACCTTTGTGGTAACCTGATGCGGTCTGTAGGCTCTGTTCTATGTATTTCTGGCCTTCCATTCCCACGAGGCTGGGTCCCAAGACAGCTCCACTGGATGTTTTCTGGGTTTAAACGGTTGAAACTTGGCCTTCGCGTGCTGTACACGATCTTCCAGGACCACCACCGATCGCATGTTGTGGTTGTGAATCAGACCGTCCTGTTCTGGAAGTCTTGTCATCGGTTCTCCCAGACATACTTCAGAGTCCTGCATTTCCCATGCCTCCACTCCATACCATTCTTGTGTGGCCCTATACAGTATGCGGAACAACTTCATCGGAGGTTCGTCAGTGTTAAGGGCCACCCATTTTCCCCGTGTTCTTTCCCCCGTACGCAGTCGATGAATCCATTCTTCCGGAATAGCCTCTTTTAGTTGGCGCAATCTATCTTGACGCTCCGGTTGGTGTCTGAGATGTTCGGCCATCTGTATCTCAGTTCTCCAGTTGTGAGCTTCTTCATCCCACAGGTCTGCAATTCGAGAAACTCCACACGCCAGCCATTGTCTCCCAAAAGCTGCTGGTTCGTTCTGCCACGCAAAAGGACGGCCCTGTTTGCAAATAAGTGAGTTGCCAAACAGGGACTGACCCAGAATCTGGTCCACCGTCTTTGGTGGCAGTTGTTGGAGCGAATGTTTTCGCCATTTTTCCAGGATTGGAGACCACATTGCCCCTTTCGCCAAGCCTCGCTGTAGCTGTGGATGTAGAAGCGCCATTTCTACATCTGCTTGATCCATCTTCAGAGCTTGTGCCATGCTGGCCAATGTGTTGATCTTCCACAGTGCATCGTCTTTCTCGAACAGGAGCCAAATGACTATTCGCATCTGTAGCGCCGTTGCTTCCAAGTGTGGGTCCAACATTCCCAGTCCACCCAGTGCGCGTGGTTGGATCAACTTTTCCCAGCGGACTCTGTAGATGAGCTGAGGTGCGTACGGATCATTCTTCCACATATATCTTCTTATCGCCGATTTGTACTCCCTCAATGCCCCGTTGTCGGGTGCCGACAAGGGTGCCACATACCAGAGTGTAGAAGATACTGCGTTGTTGGCTATGATGATTCTGCCGATTACTCCTAAACCTGTACCTTTGGCCCATCTGTGCATCTTCCTCATCGCCTCCGCCAACAGGCCCTCCATCTGTTCTCCATTGGTTAATGCTGCTGGAAGCAGTACCCACAAGTATCTGGTGTTTTGGCCCTGCGGGATGATCGTCATGTCTTGGAAATCCTCCAGATCTGCACCGGCAGGAAGGAGAACTGTGGATTTATCCCAGTTAACCCTGGCCCCTGCGTAGTATTCGAATGTTGCCACTGTGTCACGCATCGCCGCTGTGCTTGTGTGGGATGTCTCTGTAATCGCCGCTGTGCTTGTGTGGGATGTCTCTGTAATCGCCGCTGTATCATCTGCAAAACTATTCAACTTGAGCTGTATTTGTGGTGATACTTGTAGACCCACAATACTCTCATTCTCCCTGATCATATCATGAAGATGTTCCACATATAGGACATACAACGCGGGTGACAGTGGACATCCCTGTCGGACGGAACGTGTGACAGTCATCTTTTGTGTTTGAAAACCATTAATCTGTACCGATGCTCTGGCTGTGTGTAAAAACCGGTCTATCGCAGCAACAAAAGTCTGGCCGAAGCCTCTCTCTTCCAGGCCTTGAAGCAGGAAACTCCAGCGGACTCTATCATATGCTTTCTCGAAATCTAGAAACATCACTGCCAGTGGGCTGTCTGACTCTGTCATTCTCTGCAAAACTTCCCTAACCATGATGACATTGGAAATGATTTGTCGTTTAGGAACAAACCCTGTCTGTCTGGAGTGCACTAGAAAAGGGAGAATCGGTCCCAATCTATTTGCTAGGACTTTGGCATACGGTTTGTGTTGCTGACAGAACTGAGATCGGGCGCCAATTCCGTATGTTCGCTTTCTCGTACAGCAACACTATATTAGCATCTCCAAATCCTGAGGGAAAGCTATCATTTCCCAGAAAAATAGCATTGAAAAGTTTGCAGAGTAGTGGCAACACTTGGTGCTGGACCGTATGGAAGTGGCCCATCGGCATCCCATCTGGCCCTGCAGCTTTGTTCTTTGGCATGTCTGTTAGAGCTGTAGTGATCTCGCTTGGTGTAATTGAAACAGTTTTCACCTTTGGCAGTAGCCGATGCAGATCCCAGGGGTCGATCCCTTGACCTCAGCTTACCTGTGTACAGTATCTGCACAGTTCCCTGGAGTTGAACCCGTGACCTGCACGATAGCCAGTGGTAAGTAGGTCGCCGTAGGTTGTAGGCTGTAGGGAGATTCGAACTGTAGACCTGTAAGGTAGGAGTCCAAGTAGAGTCCAGAGGCCTAGCTTTAGTCCTTCTAGAAGGTCGGCAAGTGGTCAAGTGGTGAGTCTAAGGTAGGCCCACGTTTTCAGACGAAGACAAGTGGCAAGGTCAACAGGTAGGACCTCAGTGCAACTGCACTGAGTCGACCGTACGACTGCCTACAGTCAGCAGAAGGGTCTAGAGAGTCCCAGTCCAGTCCAGCAAGTACCACAGGGGGACTGTGAGCACCAAGGGCCGATGGCAAAGGGCAGACCAACGAATTTCTGAAGTATAAATCAAGAGGCAGCGCCCAGCCATTCATTCATTCCTGCGTGAGCCATGCGGAAGCGCTGCCACAGCGACTTGTGCAAGGAGGTCTGCAGATGAGCCCGGAGGACGCAGTGGGCAAGAGAGTGGGAGTTAGCATAGCGATAGGGTAGATGCAGCGACAGCTGCCATAGCTGTAGTTAGTAGTGAGTGTGTGTGTGTGTTCGAGTGTTAGAGTGATGCGTGTGGGATATCCAGGGTGATCCAGTGTATGTGAACAGTGAGATGTTTGGGCGCTGAAGTCGCCATAGCCAATTGAGAGTGAACTCGTATCTGAAAGCCATATATCTGATTTTTGAGTGGGCGTATGTCGCCAGTATGCTGTGTTGCTGTTTACATGCATGAAAAGTGTGTTTGAGAACAAGTCTGATTGCATAATCGCGTTATCCAGGTTGGCCGACTGTTGTGCTGTGAGTGCGGTTCTACATTTCGACCACACATCCCTCCACGCTTGTCCCTTCAATTGGTCTCGTTCCCAGTGTTCCGTTTCTGTGTACAGGTCTGTGTAGAAACACTCCGCATATTGAATAATTTGTGGGGTGCTGGTGGCCAGCACTTCGTGAGAGTGGAAGGGGTGTTGCAACAAAATCATTCTCGTTGCAACTCTCCTTGTTTGGGCCAAGTGAAAGAATGCCGAAGTCATTCTTTCCGCCATACCAATCCATCGGGATTTGTTGGCGAGTCCCCATCTGGCAGCATCTATCCGCTGCCATTCTTCCCATTCTGCTTGCAGCACAGTCCATTGTGCCCACCATTCGTCCTCATGTTCTTCTGGAGGGTCCGTGCCCAAGGCATTCATACAATTTGTGAAATTATGACCTGAACGCAAGTGTGCTTGTTTGGTGGCCTGAGCACGGGTTTTCATAATCCGAGTGAGAGCAGCAATGCCCAGATGTAGGTGCTCCGAGGCATCATCTGGATGGATGCTATTCCAATATTCCCAGTGCTGTCACGCTAGACGACAGTGCAACGGGTCTTCGAACGTCCAGTGAGGGACTGCAGTGGGAGGAGGACGGGTCTGTATCTGTGTAGAGATGAGGACTTCTGTGAGCAGTGCCTTGTGGTCTGACAGTGAGACCGGACAGGGTGTAAACCGAATAAGGTTGTGCAGTAGTGGCGTGGACATCCAAGTCATGTCCAGTCTGCTATGTCTTCCCGGATCCGATCCTATCCATGTGAATCCTCTGTCATCAGGCCACATCAGTCGGAATGCATCTTCCATCACCAGTTCCGCCATCATGTCTTGAAGTGCTCCTGCGTCAGGTCTCGGTGAACCGAATCGAGGTGAATCTAGCCCCGGCGTGACGATGGTGTTAAAATCTCCCGTAATGATGATGTTCGGAACATCCGGAATATGGTTTGGAAATTCTTTCCAGAACCATTTTATGTCAGTAATATCCGACGGTGCATACACTGTGACTATGAGAACGTGTTGTCCCTCCATTTCCACCCATACCCAGGCCCATCTGCCTTGTGAATCAACGAATTGGTCGATCACCACCCCTTTGAAGTGTTTAGTTGCTATTATTGCCACCCCTCCTTTCGATCCCACTGCGGGTGCCCATAACTGGAAGTTTTTCCCAAGTTCCGGTCTGCTTCCCCTTTGTAAGTGTTGTTCTCTCACTTTCGTTTCTTGCAAACAGAGGATTTGTGTACTTTCGTTATTCACCAGCTAGCGGATCTCATGGGCTTTCCAGTGTATTGATCGTGTTCCTAATCCTCGTGTGTTGAGTGATGCTATCCTTAATGGTGTGAACGATTGCATCTATTACCCAAACAATAGTTGATTTACACTGTCGCGATGGCCGAGTCCTTTCCCATCTGTGTTCTACTGTTCTGGCACCTCCTTTGTACTTCTATCTTCCTACTATCCTTCTGTTTCCCTATCTGTGGTCCCTCCATCTTCCTTCCCTATTCTGTTCCATATTTCCACGTTCCATCCTTCTTCCTCTTCACCACACCTACCCTTTCCCATCTGTGTTCTACTGTTTTGTCACCTCCCTTGTACTTCTATCTTCCTACTATCCTTCTGTTTCCCTATCTGTGGTCCCTCCATCTTCCTTCCCTNTTGTACTTCTATCTTCCTACTATCCTTCTGTTTCCCTATCTGTGGTCCCTCCATCTTCCTTCCCTGTTCTGTTCCATATTTCTCCCCTTCCCTCCACGTTCCATCCTTCTTCCTCTTCACCATTTGCTACTGCCAGTCCTTCATTGATGATTGGGCGAGCTCCCCATTTCTGTCCTTACCCATGAGCATCGCACGACACGTGTGAGGTATCTGTGCGGTCCCGTGTGTGTTGTCCTAGATACGGCACGACGGCTTTGTCTGTGTATTCGTGTATGGTGAGAGTGTCCCCCTGTGGAATCTTCGGAGGTCACCCCTCTTTGACTGTGCCGTCTACTGGGAGAAACACGATGCCTGTGGGGCCAGTTTTGTGGGTCAGTCCAGAAGTTGCCTGTGGTGAATCTCTTGTTGTCCGGGAGTCGTTGATCCGGGCCTCTCAGGATATGTACTGCTACTGTCACGGATGTGGCAAGACCTCCATTTTGTCTTGCTTGTCATAACGCCTGAGAAAGATGTCGCCATTGTAGTGGCGGTGTGATGTCCGTCTCCTCTTGTGATATAGGTTGTGCATGTAAGAAAAAACTCGTAAGTGCCATTAATTCTCCGTCTTCCACCCTTTCCAAAAACCTCACTGATATCCCCGGTATGGGGGTGATCTGGTACTGTCTTTCCGTCCATTCCATCACTTTTGTGATGGCTCGCTGTCAGGATGGGTGGTCCTCAAAGTCTGTCATCGGGATGCGAAGATCATCCCCTATTGCATCTTGTGATGTGGTCAATATTTCCATATTTCCTTTTCGGAAACAAAAAACTAGTGGCACAACCCTGAGGCGTCCTGCCTGCCGTAATTTCTCGAAATCACCGTCCAACAGTACCATCCTTGTGCGCGCATGTGTGGCCGTGTTCTGCCTGGGGTCGATGTTCCTACCTGCTATTCTTTCCGCCGGATTCTCATCACTGTCCTCGTGCACATCACGTTGTTCAGGATTTGGGGATTCGAGACGTATACAATTCAGTCGATCTTGGTGTGTGACCTGTCTTGCATGTGGCAGTAGTTGGAGCGGATGTGATTGTTGAGTGATCAGTGGAGGTCGCGGTCACAATGGTGTGGTAAGGATGGCGACAGTCTGTGGACGTGAGACTTGTGGACCGGATGTAGCGTGGTGTGAAGCGGTGGGAGGAGGGGAATGTGTGTGCCAACTAGGGATAGTGAGCAGTCCCAAAGGGGTCAATATTCTGTTCCTTTTCGGTGACGGCGACCTGTCTTCGTCAGAGGAGATAGCGATTCGCTGTGTGTGAGCATGGCTTGAGGCCTGCTGCCGTTGTTGTGTCTGTCTAGTCTTTCTACCCTTCTTACGTGATTTAGGACGTTTAAGATGATTGTGTGCGGACGACTCTGTGGTGTTTCAGAGTGCAAAGTGTTCACACTTAGACGTGCATGGCTTAGTCTTTGAGACAAGCATATGACTATTGGCAGGACCAACCAGGTAGCGGGTGTAACGAGCAGCCACAAGGAGCGATGGCCGAGGCGCATGTAGGCACGTCACGCCGGACAGCCTACCAAAAGAACGTCGAACAGTCGTGGAACCTGCAATGAGCTGCCGCGACGACGCGAAGTCCGACTGTTTGAATTGCAGGTGAACTTCCCCTCCGTAGGCCATCTCCAACGGCAAGTTACCGCACAATCCAACACAGCCCGCCGCACCCGCCCAAGAGATTGGCTGCGAACAGCACCCGCCCACACCACACCCAGAGATCGCAAGTTAACCACACTACCCGAACAACGGCGCGCGCGAAGGAACCACAAACAGCTTCGGCCCACAGCCGGATGCAACCGCCCGCCCAAAACGTACCGACAGCGAAGTGCACCGCCTCATCTCTCCATCGAGAAACACGGGTGAAGAGAGAAACGAATGCACCACACTTCCAACACGCCCGAACGGAAAGCCTCCACCTGTGCACGTGGGCG